TTTCTCTCTCTCTCTCTCTCTCTCTCTTTCGCTCTATGTCTCTCGCTCGCTCTCAATGTTTATGTTCATGAATGATTTCTTCTCTTTGATTTCCCTAATTTTTCAAAACCCTATCAATCATCAATTTTGCATATTAATATATAAGGTTTAGTTTATTTGCTTATCAGAATCTAACATGCATTTTCTTGATCTGATCTTGCTGATTGTAGGCTATTGCTGAGCCCAGTATATATGTGATTCTAAAAATTGACACTATTGGCTATTGTTGAGCCCAATATGCATTTTCTTGATCCGATCTTGCTGACTTCTTGGTTATTCAATTCTTTTGGTTTCATGTTCTTCCATAAATATAATGTGTATATATGTATGTGTGTGTGTGTGTGTGTGTGTGTGTTTGTTAGGAGATTTTCTTGTTTGGATGATCTGAGGATTGAGGTTCTGGTCTAGTGACTTTTTTTTTGTTTTTTACAGATATTGGCTCTGTGGCTAGTCTAGTTTTGGGATTTATCATGTTTTCCTTACATAGAAAATATATTGATCATTGTTTTGTTGTGTTTTCTGGCCTGAAATTCTTATATATTTATGTTTTATGCAAACCCAACTGAAAGATGGATCCATTTCTTGAGTGATCAATCTGTTATTTGCAGTTTGTTTAAATTGTTGTGGGTACATAAATCTTTGATAGATTATGGTGTATGGAGGCATATAATCCAGATCTTAATGTTCTGTTTGTTTTTATTTACATTTGTTTATAACTAATTTATATGGGTTGTAATAAAATACAAAATACAGATAATGAAATTTTCTAGTTGAGAGGCACTTTTCTAGGGATGAGTATGTTTTTAAATTTTTTCTGCATTTACATTTTCACACAAATCTCATTTTTAAACAATAACTGAGAGGCACTTTTAACCATTTGTTTGCCTAATTGTATTACCAAATAGTGATTTTAAAATAATTTTGTGAATATTAATACTCACAAAAACATATCTACACAAAATTAAATTGAAAAAATGTCACAGGGAGCGAGGCTTATTGTGTAAACACACACGATAAGATACGCAACATTCTAAGTGTTTTGTGATTCATTTTGTAGTAGTACTGAAAGAGGAATAGGCCTGGACTTTGTAACAAGTTCTGTTGCAATTTTTTGAGAGCCAACCAGCTAAAACAAATCTTCACATGCTTTGAATGGTCATATGAACATAAAGCTTGTTGGCTAGTAAATTATTAGCATTTATTGAGGAAAGAAGCTGTTCATTCTAGATAAGTCAAACTTTAGACCTACATTAAAATGTTGTTGTGAATTAATTGTATGACCAAAAAAAAATTTGTAAAGTCATCAAAAAATTTATAATTTCAATTATTAAAGTTGATAAGATATGCCATTAATTTGAAATTTATTTTGACTTTATTCACTTAAGTGTAATTTCTCCTAAATTGTTTGGAACACAAAATAAGTACAAGAATGAGTCTTCTGATATCATTTGATTTTTGTTTGCAAACTCTATTTCGCACTGCTTATTTATTTCCTACATTTTTTAAAACAAAAACAGACAAAAAACCAAAACAATTTCAGGGTTGTACTCAACCATGTTACTGGATGACTGTGTATCCACAATTCTCTCCAACACCTTACCTCTAGATGCATGCAGGTCTTTGTCAGTATCATCTTCGTTTCGTTCTGCAGCAAATTCTGACATTGTTTGGGAGAGTTTGTTGCCCTCTGATTATGAAGACATTGTTTCAAGATCAGTAACTCCTTTGAAATTCTCTTCAAAGAAAGAGATATTTGTTTGTCTTTGTGATCCCATTCTCACAGATGGTGGAAATAAGGTAGGCTTCATTTCCTTTTAGACTTCTCATCACTTTAGAGATGAGGCTTACAAGTATGAGGCTTACATCATTCACATGCATTCATGTGTGTTAACTTGATATGTATTGTTCAACTTAATTTTTAAGAACAGTTTTTTGGTCCACAATAGGTAGTAAAGGTTTGTGTTTCATATATGTGCTTGCTATAATATAGAGCTTTGCATTGGAAAAATCAACTGGGTTAAAATCATACATACTCTCTGCAAGAGAACTTTCCATTACATGGGGCAATCAGCCAATGTATTGGATATGGAAGTTCATGTATGGATCAAGGTTGGTAGTATTGGTATTCTATTTCCATTTTAATTTCTAATCAATTGTGTATCTCTCATCACTTGTCTTTGATGGAAAGGTTAGTGCCTTGGTGGTTAGTGTTGTTTGTTGTTTTTTTATTTTTTATGGTGTGCTTAATATTTGTTTTAGGCAAGCCTGCAGAGGAAGTCATGGATATGTTGTTAGTTGTAGTTTGATACATAGCCTTGTTTATTGTTTCCTAGATTTGGGATTTGTTGGATTGTTAGTTTTTATGTTGGCTTGTTGCAACAGATTTGTTGAAACATAGCCTAACAATGGAATATTGAAATGATTTTGCCTAACAATGGAATATTGTTGAAACATATCCATGACTTGTTGAAACATAGCCTAAAAATGGAATAATCATTTTTCCTAACAATGGAATATTGAAATGATGCTTAGCAAATTTGAGAGGATTCCGCCTGCCTAAGTGTGTATGGTTCTTATGTTTTGTTAATTTTGTGAGGGGACACGTACTTCATTCATATTGACTTGTTATGCATTACTAGATAGTTGCTCTCTGTTTTACTCTTCCCTCTAATAAGTTGACTATGATTTTCTAGTTGACCTACCTCATTTGTGCCACTTGTATAAGCTCTATGGCCTTGTTAACTTTGTTTTGTTTAAAATAATTTTCTTTTTATTTTCTGTTTATTTTATTTTGGGTGCAAAAATGTGGACTGCTTGGAGGCATTAATTGTTTAGAAAGGTTTATGACAATGGAGTTCTGCATATAGGTAAGCAAATTCTCTTGGAAAAACTAAACTAATGATTTAAATAGATTACCAATATAAATGATAAGGGACCCCCTTTATGTATTTCTTCTGTCTTTCTTTTAATCTTATTGTATATATGTTTTAAATAATTGAATGTTGCTATGGAAAAATGCAAAAAATCATGTGGTTAGATGGCATTGTAACATAAATTAGAATTTCTCTTTTATTTGCTGCAGCTAAAAGTTTGTACCTAGTTTCTGAACTTTATATGTTTTGTCCACACTTAAAAAGAAAAAAAGAAAAAAAGAAAAAAGAAAAAGAAAAAAAAAAAAAAAAAAAGAAGAAGATAATGAGGCCAGTTATTTTTATTTTTGTATTTGCAGTTATGCTATTTAGCTCTAATTTGTTCAAACATTTTTAGGTGAAAGGTTCTCTGAAATTGTTGGAAGCCCATATTACATGGCACCAGAGGTGCTCAAGCGGAATTGCGGACCAAAATAGATATTTGGGCACCAGAGGTTCTCTGAAATTGTTGGACCAGAAGGGAAGTTGTAACGCCCTCAAAATAAACCCATTATATATATCATTGACATGCATTATTTAATGTAAACATTTTATTTTTGGTGTTTCACAATAAGTTCATTTGGTTCGTTTGATGATTCTTCTTGGCTATTTTTTCATTGGTTTTTGCTTCTTGACTTCAACTTGTATCTGGGTGTGGAGGTTGTTCTGTTCTTTTTTTCTTTTCTTTTCTTTTTTTTTTCAGTCCTTGGGATCAATTGAGAATGTGAAAACATGTGCGTAAAAATACCACTGTTTTGGACAATAGATAGAGTTGATCAACTTTTATATTTATCAGTTTATCATGATTTAATATTTCAATGGATGTTACTCCGCATACAGGAATCAGTTTCTCTACCAGTGAAGCATCTGCAATAAACTTTTCACTCTCCACGCATAGGGTTCACCTGGTTTAAGCCCTTTGCTCCATCTCCTGGTAAGTTTTACCTTACCTTTTGTGTTGTTAGGTTAGGATTCCCCTTTCATCATGCATTTCCAATATTCTAACCCTTTGAAATTGGAAATAACTTAAAAGTATATTAGACTTATGGTTGGTGATTCATACTGTTGTCGTCCGCTTACAACTCAATGATGAACTAATTTAGTGCGATATATTTCTCTGTAACGCATTGTAGCTATAACAATGAATCACAGCCACAGCTGCTGATTATAGCAGTGTTCTCTCTGTGTTTGCATGGAAGTAGAATAACATAGTCATAGAAATTGATTACTCATGAAAGTAGAATAACATAGTCATAAAATTTCACTTTATTTTTTATTTTTTTTCCAGTTATTTCTTTGGGATTAATCATGAAGCGAGTTATTTCTTTGGGATTACTCATGAAAGTAGAATAACACAGTCGTAGCGAGTTATTTTTTTTCTTTTTCCAGTTTTTTCATGAAAGTAGCAGTGTTTATCTTTGGGATTACTCATGAAGTGAGTTATTTCTATGTCCAGTATGGAAACATTTTCACTTTATTTTTATTTTTTTCAGTTTAAACACTCCCGAGGATGCTGACCCTGCTGCATATTGACAAAAATATATTTCCTATGTACAATTGGTAATGGTAGTTAGTTGGATTTTTATATTGCTTTAGGTATTGAGAGGGAAATCACCACCTTGCAATTGGAAGTATGTTAAAGAGTTTATAGGTAATGTTTCTGTTGTAAGTTTTTAGTTTTTGATCTAATTATAAATTTATTCTCTTTCCATAATACACAATAGATCAAACAGAACATTAATATGCAATATATTTTCTCAAGTTAAATTTCAAGTGTAGATATAAGGATCCACACAAATAGAAGTAATTAGCCTTAAGTACATATAAGAAGAGGTTTTCCATAGGGAAATTGTTGAGATAGAGTTGAATAATAAATCAAAGTTTAAGAAGAGCAGTCGGCAAAGGAGTTAAAGCTTTACTTGCTGCTTTGTTTTGATCTTAGGATTGTGGGTTTGATGGCTGTCTTTGTTCTTGTTCATCCTGATCTATCTGGATGCTTGTTTTTGGAGCAAACTGGTGGTCTATATTGTAAAATTAGAAATTTTCACAATTTTTGTTCGAAAAAATGTCGTATTTCACAATTTCTCAAATTGAGAAACTTAAAAAATTATAATGTTTAAGAAACTGCAAAAGTGCACACTTTCTGTATAGAAATTGAGAAACTTCTTGATTTTTAAATATTGTGAAATTTCTAAATTTCTAAATTTCTAATGCTACACATTAGAAACTCTCCCAAAAATACATTACAAATCATCATCATGGATTGTGGGCCTTATTCAAGATAATATAGTACTGAGAACACCATACATTCTGTTGTATGAAAATTTTAGTGTTTGTATTTATTTTGATGGAATATGATTTTCAGGTGGTGATGTCAAATGGCATCGTTACAGAAGAAAGAATACAAATTAATAGTCAACTATATATGGTGGTGACTATCAACACCAATTAAAAGGTTGTATTTATATTAATCATCGATGTATCAAATTTATTAGAGAGCTGCTATAAATTATTTTTTGTTTTAAACATTTTTTTATATCACTGATCAATACATGCATGATAAATATAATATAATATATTAGTATTTGCTTTTTCTAATACTTATCTCTAAATAAAAACGATTAGAAATAAAACTACCCAATAGTCACAAACTTAACTTTTTTCCAAGTATAAAAAGTTCCGTTTTAAAAGTAGACTACCTACCTCCCCTTTGAGGAGTGAATTGGTTGGGTTAGTGACAAGGATTATATTCTGGGTAGTCAAGTGCCACACCCCTTATCCGATCTTCCGGCATTGGCATCTCCCTTTGCCTCTGCTCCGATATTGCCATGTAATGAAACATGTTCATCATCCATTCATTCATTATTTATCAATCTAGATATATAGATTAAAAAATATAGATACTTTTTTTTTCTTCTTTCATTTCCTTTGGCGGTCTGCATGTTGTTGTGTAACACTATGGCAGCAGTGCAACACTCGTTTCATCACAACATGACAGATCAGGAGCCTTCAGAAGCCTTGGCAATACTGGTTTCATCAGAAGGCTTCTGAAAAGCTGTTTTATCACATAGCAGCACACACAACTGGGGTACTGATTGTGGTTGGTTCTGGATTGAAATTTAATTCACATGAAAGGTTCATTGAGGAAGATAGGAGTTATTGACAATATAGATCAATTTCAGTTGCCATGTTGGTTTTTGCTGTGTGGCACTATATTAGATCTGGAATGGTGGCTGATCCAATTTATTCTATAGATATAAGAATGCTATTGTTTTATTTACAATTTGATAATGATAGTCATTTAATTTGCTAATGTGACCTTTACTTTTCATGGACATTTTTCATTATTTGTCCAATTTTACCTGACATTATTTCTCTTTTTTTTTGGTACAGATGGATGAACTCGTGCACAAAGCTAAATTGTACAGGACAAATTGGCACTTTTTGCATTTTTGAAAGGATTATATATTTTTGTATAGATGTATGTGGAAAATATTAGGGTAGACTAGTAGTTATATTTTTGGATACACTACTAGTTATATTTTTGGATGGGTGTATATAGAAAATATTTGGTAGACTACTAGTTATATTTTTGGGTTAATGTACATGGATAAAAATTTAAAACATAATAACAAGTACTTGTTATGTTTTAAATTTTTATGCTAGATGAAATATGTAGTTTCGAATTATTTGTGGATGTAAACTTACAATAGTTGCTGACTTTAATTAAACAGGTTTAGAAATGGTTGATATATGTATTTTGTTGAATGTTGATGATTCAATTTATTTGTTGGTTTGAATGATTTTTGCAAATTACAGATTATATTGAATAAATTGGATGGATTATTAAAAATTACAAGTTTATTTTGTCGGATGTTGGTGACCAAAATTTGGTTTTGTTTTTATAGTTTTGGCGACCAATTGATTGGTCGGGAAAGATAAATTATACTTTTGCCGACTAAATAAAGTAGTCGGTGTATCACCAAGCACATTTGGCGACTAAATAATTAGTCATTAAAATTATTAATTTTGGCAACCAAAGGATTTGGTCGCAAATAGGTCTATTGCCGACTAAAGTTTTAGTTGCTGTAGACACCCCATTTTTTGACCGTCCTCGAGACTTGGTTGTGCTTGCAGGTACACCCAACAACTAGTTCGACTGCTCGCCGAGTACTCGACTGTCGCGGCGGAACGTCACCGGTTCGAGCTTCCCGGACCTTGTATCCTTTCTGCCTCTTTTTTGGACCTTCGCTAGGTCCTTTCAGAGTGACCCTTTTGGTGCACTGCCGGCCATGGCATGGAACTGCCCGCCATTGCTTTGCTCCTGCTGGCCACTGGTGAAGCCCTGTCGGCCATCAGTGAGCCACTGCCGGCCATTGCTGATGGCCGGCACCCCCCTATTTCAGCTGGTTTTCCTCCAGATCTTTTGAGCCAGCTGGATTTTCATTTGCTCCCCTCCATACACGTGTATGGAGGGATGAAGCCCTTGCAAAGCTTCTTGAAGAAGCTTTGCCTTTTCATCCTTCTATATAAAGAGGATGCCATCCTCTTTGACAGGGGTTCTGAGTTTTGGAGAGCAAAAAACTCCCTTTCTCTCTATATTGTTTGTATTTTGTGCTTAGAAATTGGATTTCCTTGCACTTTTACACTACAACACCTAGATATACACCACCACCATTGAACCAACCTTCTTGGGAGGTCTTCTTGAGGTCTGAAAGCAAGCTTCCACCCCCTAAAATTGCTGGTTTCGAAGAGGATCTTCAAGGGTGAGCATTTCCCCCATTTTTGCACTTTCTTACACCTTGCTTTAGCCCTCTTTACATATTGATTTAGGCTTTTCTTATAACTGGAAAAAGTCTTGTTTTTAAGTCCTTTTTAAGTTTGGTTAAGTTCATTTTGCTGTTTGGGGTGTGTAGCCCCCTTGCATGCTTTGTTTGGCTTTGTTTTAAGCCATATCTTGAGGCCTCCGAGCTAGCCTTGGTTTGGCCTGCCTACCACTGAAATCCAGTGGGATTTTGGTGGTAGATGTGTGGTTTTGAGGTCCTAAATCAGAGGGGGTAGTCCCCTCTCTTTGTGTTCCTCTTTGCTTGCATTTTTGGCCTTCCAAAGGACCATCCCTCTATGTATTTTTGAGGCTTGGTTCAGGCCTATTTTTGTGACTTTTAGGACCTACCTTGGCCCTACCCATGGCTGGTTTGGTCATATTTTGCATGCATATAGTATGTGTAGTGTAACTCCATCCATAGCTCATCAAAGTAACATGTGTGCTGGGCTTTTGTTGAGTCCATTTCAGTCCATTTTTGGTGATGTTTTACCATGCCATGAACCTGTTTTGGATTGGTTTTGTTACCCCATGCTTGCATGATGCACTTGTAGTGTAAATCTCCTAAACTAGCTCCATATGCTCCATGCCATGCCATGTCATTTTAGCTTGTTTGGTTTACATTTCAGCATATATTTGGTCATCATTTGGCATGTTATGACCCTATCCATAGTTGGTTTGATCATCCTTTGCATCCTTCATATAGGTGTAGAACAAATCATGTTTACTAGCCCTTTGTGCATGATGTTTTGACTCATCATCCTAGCATATTTTGGCTTTGCTCAAACTTGATTTTATGCTTATTTTGAAGTGTTCTAGGACTGTTTTAGGCTGCCATGGCCATATCACTCATGCTTTGCATAGCTATAGTGTAAATGCTTAGGCTAGTCTTGGGTTTTGAGGCCTCTATCATGCCATACATGTGATGTTTGCATGCCTTGCCCTCATTCCACATGCTATTTCAGTCCATGAAATGTTGTTCACTCGCATTTGACATGCCTTGAATGCTTTGTATAGCTTGTGCTTTATGCCTCAAGAATGGACTTTTGCGCATGCCACTTAGCCTAAGTCTTTAGCTCATCATTTCAGTACATTTTGGGTCCTAATATACCATGATGTAACTCTGTTTTTGGTTGTCCAAGTCATGCCATGATTGGTTCTCATAGGTGTAGTGCATTGCCTCTTTTGTAGCCTTGCATGTCCTATGTTTTAGCATTGTATGCTAGCTTGCTTTGGCTTACTTCCTTGCATGTTTTAGTCTCATATCAGTATGTACTAGGACTGTTTTGGGTTGCCCTTGCCATATCCTTCATGCTTCGCATAGCTATAGTGTAATTGGCCTTGCAAGCTTCGTGTTTCGGTGATTCACACATGCTATCCTTGAGCTATTTAAATGATTTGGCATCATTTATCATCTCATTTCAGTGCATATAGTGTTGTTACACTTGCACATTTGTCACTTCTTAGGCACTTTTGAGAGTTGCTCTTTTAGGCCCCTTTGATGAACCTTTCGCATTTTGCATGCTTGAGTGTGTTGTGTGGCTTAATTCATCGCTTTGGCTATTGATTTGGACCTAGTTGAGAGCCGTCCATCTTTGGTGTAAGCCCATCTTACCATGTTGTCGCATGCTTGTTTCATTTCGTCTGTTGTCACATACTTGTTTAGCTTTGCATACCTTGCATGCTCACATGTTCATATTGCATTTTGTTATGTTGTCCAAGGTCATCACCTTAAATCATGCTTATATGCTTGTTGCATGCTTGGGTTAGTTGCATGTTTGCACACTTAGGTCATGTTGCATGTTTGCCATGCTTATGTGTTACATTGCTTGGATTAAGTGTTAATCCGAGCAAGAAGAACGAGGAGCGTTTCATACTTCAAGTGATGGAACGTGTCTCAATTCTCGGTCGCCGAAGCTCTTGATGATTCATGATAGAGTTCTAGGCTTTACTTGCTTTATTTGTGCATTCATTTTCATATTAATTTGCACAAGTTGAATCTTTGGCCATCATGCATCGGGATGCGTGATTGATGGTCGTGGATCCGACTAGGCCTCTCCCTTTGATGTTTTGAGGTGATTTGGAGTGCCACGGTGCGTACATATCCTTGGAAAACCCTCTCTTTTCTCTATTTTGTGCTTCGTTGCAGTTTAGTGTCACAGCACACCAGTGGCCGACAGTCTGTCACTGATGGCCAGCAGTGTGCCACCCTTGGCCGGCAATGGACCACCTTTGGCCGGCAGGCCACTGGTGACTTCCCCTGCAGTGTTTTGGTAAGGTCTAGCAACAAGCGCTGGAAGACACCCTGCAAACAGAGCCTCTAAAGAGCAACCGGAAGGCGTTTTGAGGCGAAGAACCGGCGTTTCGAGGCGAAGAACCAAAGCGAGCATGCATACCCTCCTCTTCTTTAAACAGACCTGGAACAACATCGTTTACTGCTTTCCCTATTTGTTTGTTGTCTTTCATTTGATAGTTAATTAATTAAGTTGTGTAATAATTAGTTGTAGCTAGTTATTCATTTGGTTTTGTAATAATTAAGTAGCTTGTTAGCTAGTTAATTAGGTGGCTTGTATTATTTATTCGGTCCCTCGAGTGAGGGCAAATTTGTAATAAGTGTGGGTGTGTGTATG